AATTAAAATAAATTTGATCAGTAATTTTTTTTAAATTTTTTAGTTTGAAAAATTACTGACATAATATATTTTAATTTTTGTTGAAATAAATTTTATCAAAAAGCTTTTTTAAATATAAGTATTTTTCTGTAAATGTAAGTACTTTAAAATATTTGTTTAAATTTATAGATCTAAATAATTTTTGGTTCAAAAAATGTTTAGGGACTTAATCGTTCAAAATATGAATGTTCATGGGGTTTTTTTTGGAATTTTTCCATTATTTTATCACATTAACCGGTTATATAGGTTATAAGAATGTATGTAACAGATTTTAGAAAGTCCAATGAGTTATTTAACATGTTTTGAAATATTCAAGAACTTATTTGTTTCAAACAATTGTCCAAGGACTTGAACATTCCAAACGCTAAAGTCTATTGAGTTTTTTTTAGACTTTTCCCTTAATTTCTCACTGTACTCTATCAATAACAAGAATTACCTATTATGACAAGATACTCGACTCATCAAACCAGCATATTTTATCACATCTTCTGTTCTTCATACTTTTTAATATAAATAAAATACAAAAAATCATTAAACTTATCCAATTAACTTCTCATAGATGGATTGTTTCATCATGATTCAATCCAAATCACGATGTCATTTTCTTGTTCTTAAATGAGCCTTTATAACCTTTTTATGTTTATGCTTTACTCCAAGTAAAAATCCACCCTTTTATATGGGACTACAGGTTGAACCAAAACAAAATAATTTTTTACATACCTAAAAAGTTTCATTCGTTGGATATATAGAGCCAATTTGGCGTAGGTCAAAGAAAATATGTTTGGTATCAAGATGTGGAAGGCGATTGTTAAGGAGCCCTAGTTCAAGGGTGGATTGTTTTTAACTCATCAAACCCAGATTGTTGTTAACTTGTTAAGTTTTGTACACACTATTGCAAGAACGAACCTACTTAAGGACATATGGTGGCACATGCTACTGCTTTATGTCACTGCCATAGTCAATAGAAATTTAAACCAACTGAATTGGTTTATGTAGCATGATTAAAGTCTTGCTTTTAACAAAGAGAGGGTTGGACAAGGGTAGATATGCAAAGAATCGGATCCAAATCTTTTCTTGGAAATACAACTAAGCATCATGATTTTGTTAAAATAAATTATATCATTTTATCTATGGTCAAATAGTGTCATTATTTAAAAAATTTATAGGTCTAAACCTCGATATTGTTGTTGATACAAAGTTAAAATTCAAAAGAAACATGTTTAAAACATAAAAAGGACATTTAAAGCATAAAAAGGACACTTCAATCATCAGCAAATTAGCCTATAACCAAGCTTTTCCCTTGTAGTAAAATTTCAAAATTTTCAACACCATTTCAAATGATTTTCTAAGTGGTTGTTTACCAAGATTTGTATATAAGTGCAAATTAGAGTAAGAGGTCTGATCAGATAAGAAGGTCTGACTAGGTATGGGACGTATGACTTTTAATGCCTAAGATGCAATCAATATAGCATTAACCATTCTAATGTTGTTCACTGAAGTGCTGAAAGTTTAAACCCAAGAACTTACAGAACCCCTCAACGATTTAGGTTTAGGTTTAGGTTTAGGATTTAGGGTGAGTCAAGCCAGTAAAGCCTGGACCGGAAAAGCCCGGTCCAGATTTTTTAATTTTTTTTCTACATATGCTAAATTCTTCTTTTTCCTTTTCTTTGAACAGACTAGACCTATGGACCAGAAACACACCAGACCACCGGTCCAAGCTCAGTTTTTACCTTGCAAGATGGCTGGTCCAGGTTTTTACCAGACTGAGTTGACCAAGCTTTGACTAGACTGATTTTTTTTCAAACCAATCCGTTAATGACATGAGGAACTAGTACCACCGGTGTCAGTAAGAATGAAAGAGACAAGGGGACGCGTAGATGATATGCCCTGTTTCAGGATTCACTTGATCAATATCGAGATATCCCCCCTTTGGGATTCACCAAGGACATGCAAATGACTCATGATTCAAACCTATAAAACAAGGAAACACCATAACAGAAGTGCTAAAATCTACTAAAAAAACAATATAAGGATCTAACACGAAATGAAATTGGTACGTCTTATTTGAGTTCTATGATATGCCTAGAACTTTCATGGTTGGTGGCTTTGCCAAGAATAACCATTGGGGGTAGCTCATCACGTGGGTCAGGCTTTGGGTTTTGCTCCTTATTGTTCACGAGTTCGAGTCCCCTTGTTTCACTGGAGGTTTTCCCGGCTATTAAAGTTAAGTCCTATGAGATTAGTCGAAATGTACACAAACTGGCGCAAACACTCATTATATAGAAAAAGACATCAAACATAGGATCCCCTTGCATAAAGCCCTTAGGGCTGTTATTTTTTTCCATCAAGCCCTGTATGGGTTAAATTCTCTGTCTAAGCAATGGGAGACCGACGGGTTTGAGGGAGGCAAGAGAGGGGGTTGGATTATTTCTCGGACATTTTTTGTATTAATTTGTTTGAGGTGGCTTAGGGGACAAGTGAGCGATCTTGCCTTATTCCATGTAACCATTTTGTCTTAATGGTTTCACAAATGAGCCAAAGAGAAACACTCATGTAGGCTGAGCGAATAAGCCGTCCAGACTACTAAGCTCATTAAGCTGTAAGTAAACAGCCGCTTAGAACCCTTTAATTTACCCCACAAAACCCCGTTTACTTTGAACATGAAACATGGCACTAAAACCTAATCTCTCAAGTGAATTATAGAGAAGAAACAAAATATAGGAAAATGATGCATGAGGTGTAAGAAGGGAAAATAATATAAAAACATCATCCGCACAAGAATCTTCAAAGTAAAGCAATAGAAGTTATATAGGTTCCTGATTTTTCTTGCTTTAAGTGGAAGCAGATATCTTGAGTCATAATATCTTGAAGGGAAGGCATTATTGAAGGAAAGAGATGGGGGTCGGTCAAGTGCATTCGCAATTCGATCCTTACATGTTACAACTAGCAAAAAGCAACGTAGGCACCAACCTTTTATCTTTTGATGTAGTTGTGTTGCAAATTTGTATCCATCGATCATCCTTGAGCTTCCAGCATAGTAGACGACGACCCAATTCTGCAATTCAGCATGGTCTAAGAAACCAAACTCTCGCTCCCTTTTCACAGTTGAACTATTTCTTACTCTTGGGATTCCCAAAAAAAGGAGATTTATGAAAAAATAGAAATAAATTGAAGAATTAAAGTGTTAGCTGACGTGGCCAAGGGATTTGATGAATGTTGGTGCAATAGTTTCGTTGCCAAAGTAACATATTCTCCAATGCTAAGAAAGGAATTTGAGATCATAAAAACCAAAACTGTTTCGGTTAATACTTTCATCACCATTAGTGATAAAAGTGATCTCGGGCCTAGGAACCCAATATTTTAGGTTTCTGTAACCAGTATTCTTGAAACCTCTGTCTGGCATACTCCATGTAGTCAAAGTCAATTTCATTAACATGTTCCTGAAAATGAAACAGGAGCATTAGGAAACAATCCCTCCATGAAAATGCATTTATCATTACAGGCACAAAACTTTAGGAGCTTCTTGGAGGGGCAAACCAAATGAGAAAGAGAAAAATATTAAGAACCGTGAGAACCAGTTTCACATGTAAGACAAACAATATCGTTTTTATATGAAAAAGACCGAATTGTTTCACATGTGAAACAAAAGATGTCCATATGTTTCATATATGTCATACACACACACATGAACAATAATACCACCTTGAATCCTAGCCTAAAATGAAACTCATTGAATGGTTGTGATTGATTCCCATGGTTCTCAACATTTTTGTGGTTCTTATTTGATTTCCCCTTCCTTGGTCCATCTAATTGAAGCTTTTTTTCTTCCTAAGAATACCGTTCCAAGCATTAAGCATGTGCAGAAAGACAACTTTCAATAGAAAATAAAAGGCTGAAATAAGCAAATAATTAGTGCAGAATCCAAATCGTATTATTGCCATTGAATTTCAACCAGCGGTCGAGGTGGATATTCTATCCTAGTTTAAAGACAACCAGAAATTATTTTTCTTACTTGTCCTGTTTATGCACTTGTGTGCCTCTAACTAGCCCTTCTTAAGGGAAGACGGTCAAAGATTTCATGCATACAGACCAGGCTAAAAACATGGTATTTACTATTTAGCAACCTTATTTTCTTCATTGTAAGTGAATTGCATTCATGTCAATGAGCTTTAAAGTTTTAAACCCGTAATAAATGTATTTCATTTGAACATGAAACAATTACAGATGCAAAATGAAGATAATACATTAAACCCAAGCCCTTTTTTCGGGATTGACAACTTGCCATTGTGCGTCCAATAAATGGGTCAGGCTTACCCACGGGCTAACGGGCCTAAAAAGTATAACTCTTATAAATCTATAAACTTGATCACTAGCAATTAATTAACAAACGTGGAACCATAAAGGAAAAACACCGTTACAATTAAAATATTAAACAATTAAAGTGACACATGGATCTCAACTAGTATAATTTTAATTAATGGTAATTAATTATAAAATGTAAGCGGGCTGGACAGCCCTGTCCATATTTATTTTTACATTGCCCATGTCCGGCTGTTAATTTTAACGAACAAACCCGGGCCTGTCCATTTTCTCGATAATGGTTGTCCAAGCCTGTATTTCTAACAGGCTGGATGGGCCGGGTCTAACATCCTGCCCATGAACCTATTATAGTACTTTGCTCATATAGACCAAGACTTGGGAAAGTATATACGTTATAACGCACATACAGTTTCCAAAGATTTTACATGGTTTTGGAAGTCAAATAACATGCTTAGGCTATGCTTGGCAAACTAGGTGATAAGTTAGCTGTTGGTTGATAAGCTAGTCATGTTTGGTAAAAACTAGCTGATACGCTAGATGGCAAAAAATGACCAAAAAAGACATGCTGAAATATTAATTGGAAAATATAAAAGGCATATATAAAAAAATGGAAAAATCCCCTATATGGCTAACCAAACAGGGCTTTTTCAATAAGCTAAAAAAGTATGCTAGTTTGTGGTTGCCAATCATGGCCTTAGAAAGAAAGGTCTATCAACATATATAAGGTAGCACAAGTACCGATATTACTCCCCATAAGCCCCAATGCAGATGACTTGCAAGGGTATATTTCTCAATCTCTTCAAGCATCTCGTCAACTTCTAGTTCATTACCTGCACCACAAACTGAATAGTTACATTTAACGAAAATTATGTCTATCTATATTATCAGCTTCAAAATAATGTATCCGCCCTCCTACTGTTGTACATGCATGTTTCCCTCGTTACGAGTAGTTACATGCTTTTGGAACCCTTTAGTTTTTTTAATACTATCCCACATAACTTCTAATCAACCCCTAAAGCCCATGCTGCCAGAGTCACCCCTGCCAGTCCAATAAGTGGTGTGCCAGCCCTAACTTCAGCTATTTGGAATCTTGAAAGTACCGACTTGCTTCAGAGTTCACTCAATCCTTGTTTTTTAATCTGTTTACTTTGTTTTTTCGTTGCTGCTTGATTTTGTAGTTGGTGTTGTCTTGGTTGAGAAAGGTCATTCACTGGCTTGATATTTTCTTTGTTCTTGCTTGCTACTTGCTGATAGTTTGAGGTTACAGAAAACAACTTGAAGAATGTTTAGTTTTATTAGTTGCTCATATTTCATACCAGGTGTCACATAAAATAGGTGCTGAATCCAATGTGCTGCTTCACCCTCTATCTACAGGCTTAAACTTTCAGAGGAAGTGGTGACTTGGAGTCGAGTACTCCTCGCCATACCACCTTCAGCTGTATCAAACTACCCTCAAAGCCATCACAACAATCGTCCCAATCAGCTACCGAACTGCAGTCTCTACAAAGCACCTTCAGCTTCTCTAAATCCAGATAGAAGCCTTAACTGCTGAAATAACCACTGCCAACCTCATAGCTAGCTTTAATCATGCCACCACATGGTTATTTTGTTTTTCTTCTTTGTCAGAAACTTGGCCAGTTTCCAGACATTAATGGCTAGTTTGGTTGATTAAAGCTTTTTCCAATCTTTCTAGCCAGTTTGGTGAAGTTTGATGGCTCGAGTAGTTTACCATGATCTTCAGCAATACTTCTTACAGTTAGCTCTAGTGTGCACATCTTGTGAACCTGATAGAAACTTGGACAAACTTGCTACAGTTGGTGCTCTAATTGCAAGATCAACTCGAGAATGCACTTCACTGAGATCTATTATGTACTACATGAGCTGACGAAGATCCAGAAATAGGACAAATGACAACTGCTCTATAGTCAATACAATGATAGGTTTCACATTTTGAACAAAAGAAGCTCGCTCACAATACAAATGTGGTAATCAAACCACAAAGTTGGAAAGTGAGAATGGGTTATAGCATTACTCATGAGCTTGATAAGGCATGATAGAGATATTCTGATTGGTGGTGAATCACAAGACAACTTGGCTGAATATGGTGACTGTCTGCTAAGCATTTTATATTGCTGAAGCACCTATTTCAACTTGGCTAGCCTTTGTTAATGATAACCAACTTCCTACTAACCATGGCATCAATAAGTAATTACATGTATGCAGAAGTCCTAGTATCGCTGAAGAACTATTTATGATTTGTTACATATAGCTGAGTCATTGTGGAAAATTTAGGCATAGGGGTAGTCCCTCCTTTTTTGTGCATCAAGGCGATCAGAACTGGAAGCTCTGAAAAAAGCTGACTGCCAGAATTAGTGATAGTCAGCCCATCATCGCAGGAAGAAAATCAAACAAACGTGCACACCATATCGGTGTTGTTTCATACCTGAAGAACTCAGGTATACGACCAGAAACCTTCTACGCTCTTCAAGACCTGGTGCAGTTGCAATTCAAAAGGAGCTGAAGCATTTTCATATGGTTTTTCAGCAAAAACCAGAAGATGAACTTTACCAGGGTATTTACTATAATCCAACAGATGAGGTGTTTCTGTATGATAATCGGCAGCCATCTCACAGAAGTGATTAGCAAAATCGAACATTGAAGGGTTATAACAAGCATACTCATAGTCCTGTAAAATGTTAGTGTTAGGAAAAGAAACAGTGAAAGCTGAATGATCATAAGATAGTGAGGTAAACCACCTATGGAGAAGCTAACAGAAGACACATTCAGGTAGAAAAATAATATTTTTATGACTAGTAATCATACAATTTAAATAAAGAGGATGGTCGTGGAGGGACAAGGAGGTGAGTGAGTAAGAGGATTTATTCTGTTTGATTTAACTCTTGATTTGAAATCACAGTGGTTGTGAGGTTTCTATTTATTATAACCATTATTTATATACATGAAACTATGTTCTTAATTGCGCCATAATACCAGTGGTAACACAGATCAAAGTCATGGGGCAGTTAGCAGTGGTCAAATAGCAGTCTGGAATAGCGATTCTGCTAATCGTGGCGCTATTGACCACTATATAACCGTATTTCAAACATTAGAATGCAGCTGCATAACAGCAACTTGTAGATGGGTTTTTTTTGGTACAAGCAACTATTTTGTGGGCTTTTACTTTGGAATTTGGACATGCCCTGTTCTTTTTGGAGTTTTATTAATAAACTAGTTTATGGATGTGAGAGCTGGTCTCCTTCGGTACGTATGAGAATCAATGGGAGGTAATGAAAAAGTTGGTCCAAGTACACGAAATAAAAGGGAGCGTTATAGGGATGATGATGATCACGTTGATATGAAGGGGAAGTTTTCAATGTGAAGCTAACCTAATGAAGAAGTGAATGTATTAGATGATGCTGACTTGCATGCATGCTGAACCTGTTGATTGCAATTAGCTCGTTCATGAACATCTTTGCTATTTTGTTTGTGAAACTTACTTGTTTAAGTTGATGTTTTGATGAAGATATTATCGGTTTCATCATATTGAGTAACAATTTTGATATCATGTAATTAGTAACTTGAATCTTACGAAAAAATCTTCATTGTTGAGAAATATTACCTATTTAATATCCCATGTTCATCATTTTAGCTTATTACTTCCATAAAGAATATCATGGACTTGTTCACGCCATGGACAGATTTTTAATACAGCTATAATACATATATAAATGTTCCATACAGCTCAATCAGCCAACTTTACATTTCAGCATTGAAATCGTTCTTCACCCGAAATTCTTACTCCCTCTGTTCCATTATACGAAGTATATTCCATATTTAACACCAAAACAGTTATGTTAGTGAATGGTGTTACTTACACCAAATTTGGTGTTTTACTGTTCATAACACCTTTCTGGTGTTCAATTTGGTACTCCGTTGAAAAGAATTTGGAGTTAAAAATGGTTTGGTGCAGGATTTGGTGTTCAATTGGAGATATCCTAACACAAAATAAGATAAAGTTCATGCTCTCTAGCTACAAATCAGTGGACCTCTGTAATCTATACAGAAAATCTATTTTCGTTTCCAAGAAAATAATTTATAAACACCTTTATCAAAAAAACATGTAGAAATGAATATATTACTGTTCAATACATGCTTTGACTAACTTAAGAAAATTTATATTAATACAAATTCATTACAAAAATACAATGGCTTATGTTGAGCCAAGGATCTTGTATTAACGAGTTTTCCAACCAATGAAAGCACATGTAGCAAATGATTTGTATATTTTGATAATCCAACTACAAGCTATAATCCAAAATACATTCTCATAGTTACACGGTATAACAAGTGACACTATGTCAGTTTACGTGGCATGAAAGGTCATAGTCAATGTTGAAACACCAATGAAGACCTCAATAGAAAACTTAAACACAAAATATCCAATAACCGGCTATAAACAATCAAATGTCATAACTTAATTAACCTCTACCAGAGACACAAGTCAACAAAACAACTAAAAGGACCGAATCTCTTATAAACTGAAAACTAGGGAACTAAGCAATATGGGAGCTTCACTTTGATGCCTTTGTAACATGTTACCCATGATGTAACCACAACCCCACAATTCTGAAACATAAAACTAAATGAACAGCAATTAGCAAGTACAAACTAGACAATCTAGTTGGACTAAGTAATGTTTTAAAAAAATAGTTTCTCATACTCTGCATTCATATCAGTAGAAGAACAAAATATTCAGAACAGTTTGAGTGCTCAAAAATATAGTTTCATCATTAGGTAGTCCAAAGGTCCCCAAAAACAAGCCAAAATACATTTATCCAAACACCATGTTTCATCATCTCTAACCAGGCTCTTCTTTTGAGAAAACAGTTCAATCAACTTGGCGGATCCCCTCTTGTCAAAGTACCGAAAGCGAGAGTGAAGCATGCATTTCATTTAAATTCTAGCTCCAAAGTTCCAAAAATAAGTCCAAAAGGAAGCTCATCATCTGATGGTCCAAAAATCCAAATTATATGTCAATTCGTCGACATAAAAATAGATTTGCATATTTTGATAATCCAAAATACATTTTCATAATTACAAGGCATGACAAGTGACACTATGTCAGTTACGTGGAATGAAAGGTCATAGTCAAACTAGAGAATTCTGAAAAGTGAAAACATCATTGAAGTTGTTAATCTATGAAAACACAAGTATGTTTCAGAGTTGAGATAAGAAGAATTTACTACGAACTTCTGGGGAACAGAAAAAAGAATTTTGTTTATTTATGCTTTTAACATACTCATTGAAGGAACATGTCTAAACTTATATAACTTGATTTGTGGCAAACGTTCAAGAATTTCAGAAAGGCATTTTAAGCTCAATTAAGATATTATCTTTGTTTATTCATGCTTTTAACAATAATAACGATTTTGATGAACAGGTGTTTGCTGCAGAAACATTTATCTTGAGCACAACTTTTGTCAGAAAAATAAAAACTCATGCCAAAATTTTACAAGACTCCAGGACAACTTCAACTAGGGTACAAACTAATTTCAACATAAAAATGAGATGTTAAAGAAGAGTGTACTTGGACCCTCGAAAAAGGTAGGCTTGTTTCATGAAAACTCATGATAGATATTATGAAGACCTAAGAAAGCAATGGAACTCATGATTTTGATAAAAATAGATATTTAATACGATTTTTATAAAGGCTTCAAGTTACCTTATTATTGTCTGTTATCTATCCCTCATTTTTTGCTTTTCATTTAATGAGATCATCTGGTTCTAAGCCCACATTTTTATAGGAATCAAGAAGGGGAGTCAAGTAAACAAGAAATCCTGTCAAATTTATTTTATAAGAAAAATATGATTCAAATAGGATTATTGACACACTTTGGTTATGTGTTATTTCAGATCACCATCTTAGCAAAATATTATCATCAAGAATGATAAGTGTTAAAACCCACATACACAATTCTAAAATATTGTTTATTACATCAGCAGCCAAGGCAAGATGAGTCATGAAGACATATAAAACATTTATATACCATATATCTTAAACTAATGTCAAAAACAGTTATACTGTACATCTAAAGACACGAAGCATCAAGCAGCATAAGTTGTATATATCAAACAAAAAATGTCGTTCAAATCCCATAAAATGCACCCGAACCCTTATCCTAAATTGAAACCCCTCTTTCTCCCTCCCTCCCTCCCTCCCTCTTTCTCGAACCTCGTGTGAACAAGCATTAGATCATATTATAGGGTAGCCAAAGAGATGAGGAACCATAGCATTGAAGCAAAGTCCACCATTCAAGCATATAGTTCAAAATGTGAAATGAGACAAGTCGCATGCCTACCATCTCTGCTCCATATACCCAGCATCTGTACTGCATATATGGCTTAAGAATGCAGAGGTATTATCAGGGAAAACTAACCTATAGTTTGCTTAATAAAACTATAGAACGTTATGAAGAATATTCATGAAATTAACAAGCCAAGCAGATGCTCACAATTATGGTTATGGATCTTGTTTCTTCATCAATCATTATGTTACCATATTGTAAGTCATTGTGGCAAAATGCTATGCGTTGATCTGCTGCAAGACACTTGTGTAAAGTTTCTATCTCTTCCTCCATGGCATCCAAACGGAGGGTCTTTGTTTCATCTGCAGAGCACATACTTTTGGCTGCACTAAGCCAATTACTGAAACAATAAAAGGAATCGTTAAAGTACAAGTTACAGCATATAAGTTAATCTGATGTAAATAGATCAATTAGCCATGCAACCTTAAGCTTTTGTAGGTGAACATGGTCAGATCTCAACTTGTAAGGATTAAAAGAGGTATACCGCAATCTATCCCAGACCATGGCCTTCTTTGGACCAGACATATCAAGGTCATGGAACTCCCTCAGCTTAGATGCTACAAGCGCAGATATATCAGGATCTCGCAAGTCATGGGCTGAGAGTGTCTGGTTTCCACAAAAAGGGAAACATAATTAGCTTGTGAAAATTTTCTCTCAAGGCTACCCAGCTTGACTGTCAGCCACAATATGCACAAATATATATGTCAACAGAAAAGAACATAAAATCAGTGACTTCAACTGCTATTGACTAATGAAGATGCTGAACTTCAAATAGACAGTTTGTTAACAAATGGGCATCTCACACCAAGTATATTTGTCCTTATTTACAGACTACCAACATTCCCCAATCAAAGCATAGCTATCTAGCAACCCAACTTGTGATCAATCTTAGCTTTCGGAAGGGGTTAGTCACTATACTTGCAAGTTGTGAAGCTAGATGAACAAATACCAGCTCAATAGATGGGAGGTCTCTAGGCATGCCAAACACCTTCTAATGCACAAGGGGACTTGCATCACGTGAGCGGATCCTTCATAGTGGAGGCACAAGGCCTATGACAGGAAATAGCAACCATTTAAGGCTTTTAGCACCTACAGTGAATTTGACATAATGCTTTATGACCTCGAAAACTGTTCATAAAGGTAACCAATATGAATACAGTCTATCAAGAAGGTATACTTTGTATTTTGTACTAGTGGTCACCTTTGGATGTTGTCGTGACGCTTTGGTTACGAAGGTTATTGGGTCTAGGTTACCCATCATAAGTTTAATTTGGGTATAGCAGTCCATACGATAATGACCTAAGCATCTCAATTAATGACTAGTCTGCACTATCAGCGCAGATGGTTAAATTGTCAAAGTTGCTCAACAAAGAAAGAACTTATATGCAAACAAAACCTAATATAGCAAAAACAGTTACGTGCCATGTTTGACAAATTAAGATCAGGTCAGTTGGCAAGACTGCTTCAAAAGCTAATCTGATCATGACATGGTCAAAAATATTCATGATGTCATCATATCTGGCACATAACTTTCTTATTTCCTTTATTTTTCATTTTGCAAACTAGGGGTCTTCACAGAAACACAAACACCCACTCTACCCTTTTGGGTAGAGGCAAGGTCTGTACGTCCTATGACCCTACCTCTGCGTGGGATATCCTGGATCAGTTTAATTTGGTTTGTTTGGTTTAGTACATAAGTTTATGGTCTTCATCTTTCTAAAAGTAATGTTTCTTCTATGATAACTCTTGAATTACTTCATAATCCCCATTCATCCAAAGATCCGGATATAATCCATACACATTATGAAAAGAGTACTAACATTAATACTAGTCTTCCGAAAATTTCAAAATCTATGAGAAAATTTTCATAGCATTAAGCACATGATTCCTGGAATTAGCACCAGCCATGGTGTTGAGTTTGACACCACTGCATGTTCAGATCTTTTAGGCTGTGTTTGGTAAATGGGATAGGACATGACGGGACAAAACTCATTGTCCCACGTTTGGCGCGACATGGGACATGACAAGAACTATCTGTCCCACATTTGGTGTGACATGGGACAAAGACAAGAACTAGGACAAGATGGGACAGCGTGGGACAAAAAAGGCTTTTTTCTTGTTCCACTAAAATACATGGAACAAGATGGAACAAGAATGAGACAAAAACTAAAATATTACTAACTAAACCTCGTTTGATATATAACCTTAACATGGTATTTGTTTTGGTGGTGATGGCCGCTGCCGCCACCACCACGGGTAGCCATCATCGGCCACCTCCACCACCTCTACAACCACCATTGACCACCGACCACCACCGTCTATCACCACCTCCACAACCACCATCGGCCACCGACCACCACTAACACCGTTGGCCATCTCCACCTCTTCTACTACAACAACCTCCTCCACCACCTCTACAACCATTGTCGGCCACCGACCACCACCGTCCATTGCCATCACCACTACCACTGTTGGCCACCTCCACCTTCTCCTCTACTACAACCTCCTCCACAACCATCGTCGGCCACCGACCAACACCGTTCATTGCTACTACCATGGGTCACTTCACTTCCACCATAACCACCACAATCGACTACCACTACCACTGCCCACCACTATCGGCTACCACTACCACTATCTACCATATTCACGTCCTCCACAAACACCACCGTCCATCTCCACCACCACTAGTATCATCGGCCACCACCACCTCCACCATAACCACCACCACCTCCCACCATCACACCTACCTCCACCAGATAGGCCACAACTACCTCCTCCACCACTGTCGACCGCCACCACCACCACCACCACTGTCCACCATCTTCACGTCCTCCACAACCACCATCGTCCACCAATTACCAATGCTTTTACCTCCACAACCATTGTTATTGCAACAATCTTCACCATGCCTTCACCAATTGATAAGGATCTTCCAAACCAAATAAAACATAATTTCTCCTTTGTATGAATCGGGTTTTTTCAATCTACCATCAATTATATAAAAAATTTCATTCAAATTTGGTACTATTTTATAATTATGTATATGAAAATTGTGTAAAAATGTTTATAAATCAAATTATGTACTTTATTTGTGTTACTTATAATTATTATATGATATATAAAATCATAAAATAACTTTTGGGAGCAGCTTGTCTAGTTAGGTCCTGTCCCGTCCTGCCCTAGTCGTACCAAACACTGGAAAGATGTCCAGTCATGTCCCGTACAGTATTGTCCAGTCCTACCCTCTTGTCCTGTCCAGTCTTGTTCAATCATGTCTGCGTACCAAACGCTACCTTAATGAGGCGCTTATATGATTCACAATTCTATTTCCTTGCACTTCACAACCTAATGCTTTGCTAATAAGAGGAATTGGCCTCTACAAAAAATGAATGGTACTTTGTTTAACAAACTAGTAGTGCCTCAAATGTTTTGGTGTAGTGCAATAACAACTTGGACTTGCATCCTAATTTGCATTTTTTGTAACACTATCTTGAAAAAGACACCTTACAAATTCTAGAGATAGAAATTGGTAATATACGTTCCTAGTATATTCTCTAAAAAACTAAGTTTATAAAATCATTAAAAAATTCAGCTATGGTGAATGAAGAGTGCCTTAATGTTATTCTCAATGAACCAACACCCAATCCTAGCTAAAAAGATTTTCCATCCAACTCTAAAAAACAAACAATCTACAATATGAAACCTCAAATTACAAAATATGGATCAAGGCTATACAAGAAGAGCTTAAACATAACCCAAGAAAAGTTTGAGCGACCGAAACAATTTCTACTTAATGATATGATCATGGAAAAGGTTGATAACACTTTATTTGTTAAGCTAAAGGAGAAAGACGTGTTAGAAGTATATATATATATATATATATATATGTATGGATTACATTGCACTTGATTCAACCAATCAATCTATGCATAATGAGTAATGACTTAGCATCTTGCATGAATAGTAAGATTGAAATGAGCATGATGGCCTTACTTGGTTTTTTTTTTTTGGTTGAAAAAATAAAATAGTATGACAATAAACTCCTATTTGTCAATCTGCACATTCTTGCATGCATAATTTTGACATCATGAATGTTAATAGAGGGAAAAAAGAACATCTACGACCACCAATATTCAAAAATCGAGACGATAAGTCAATTGATCATAACAAATATCAACGTATGATCGAAAGCTTACTCTATCTAGTACATTGTATATTTGGTGTGGTGTTAGTCCCACGGGCGGACCACTAAGAGGGTAGGGATGCAAGGTCTAGAATTCAATGCCTAGTAGTTGTCGCAATGGGAAAAAATTAGGGGCCTTAAATGTGCACCTGCTTAATTTTGAGGGGTGCCCTGAAAAGTTATAAAACCGAACTCATAACAGAAAATAGAAAATGTGAGATGGTCTAAATCGCCAGATTAACACTAAACCTTTGAGAGGTCACAGGTTCGACTCCCTTTTTACTGAATATCCAGTTTTTCACCTTTTAAATTTCGGTTCCTAATATTTTTGTGAAAAATTAAAGACAAGCAGTAGGGAGAAAGGTCAAACCCGACCTTCCCTAGCGAAGGATAGCAACAAACCAATGAAGCTAACATGATATTATGAAAATTCTCCATAGCTTCCACCCTTATGGTCTAATGGTGCCACTGCTTGAAATCTTTTTTGATGCTGGTTAGTCCAAGTGTGAGATTTCGTGAAAATCCGAAAATGCCTTGTCTAATGACAGTAAATAAGATTATTACCGTATCCTAGAGGTATCTCAGATGAACCCATATACTATCTAGATTTACATTCTGATGGAGCAGTAGTTGATCAAATTAGTACACGCAGGGTATGTGTGGATGGCCATCTGTCTCATGATTATCAAAAAAAATCCTCAACCCTATAAGTCACGGGGATTAAGTTTGTGGTGGTGGCTCAAGCATGCGCATATGTATCCTCAATGAAAGAACCATTACAAGATTTAGGGTAAGCAATTGTAAAGATTATTGTCTTTAGTGATAATACCAACACAATCAATCTTATTAAGAATATCCTTTCTTACATTTATAAATAAACATCACTTTCTCCATGATGATGTGCAAAAAGGTTATATTGTACCATGTCATGTGGATGAAAACACAGCATACCACAAAACTACCTGAAACAAACTTTTCATTGACTCGGTTGCTCAAACACAATTCCTAACTAGTTAACATGCTTAGATGTATGTCCTATATGATCTTATATGCATCTTAAATCTTAATATATTCCTTAATTGCTTTGTGGTACTATTATTCGTCATTGGTGTTATGTTTAATCGAAATGTCGACCTTCTTGTCGAAAGAGTTGTGCCTTGGTCAACCAACTTCTGCTTCCAGGAAATGGATATAAGAAAAGGTTGAACCAATATTTTGAAGTCACGTGTCCAGCTTTTGTCACATACATTCTTTGATGGCCAACAAAATTTCCACCCTCTTAAGGATGCAAATCAAGATATATTGACATGTTTCAACATTCATGTTAAATGTCCATACCTTTGCATTTTCACATCTACCTCCACAACTCGGTTATAATTCTTTTAACTCATTCTTTTGCATTCGTCAGCATCTTGGCACATCTCATATGCTTAACAAATACATATTACTTCCAACTTTGTTTAGTCCACTTACTTTACTTATTGTGCTTGCTTGAGATGCTTTATGCCCTAGTGAATTCACTCACCTTAGTAAGCAATACGATCCTATCAACTTAAATACTAATCAAGGTTTTATCAATGCAGCTGCAAAAGTTGTTTATATTGGCATTCTATATTCGATTAATCAAAAGGTCAGTTCCATGCATGATGATACACATCACCGAAACAATACAATTTCCTACACGAGTAAGATGATAAGACATAAATTAAATGCAATATTAAATTGAGGAATGTGTTGCAACATCTTCAAGCCTTCAAGAGATGTATGTTGATATCCTGAATCATGCTCTTACATAAATGTGTACTAGGAAAAGTCATTTCAATTCAGAAATTTTACTAATGAACAATAGATTCTAGAGAAAACTTGGCTTATAAATGACATCACATAAATAAGAATATTGTGTTGGTACAAGTTCTCCAACAACAATGTTACCACGTCTTAGGTGAGGGATGTGTAAAGGGAGATATAGAAGGCGCTCTTCTAGTACTGCCTCTCCAAAATCACTACTGAATACTCCTACTGAAAGTACTAGAAAATGTTCTGGTAAGAGAAGAATATGTAGATCAAGTCTACTAAGAGCCTCAATCCAGCAAAATAGGCTGAACCTGGTCGTGAGAAGGTGACACTATCATGACACTGCAAAGGATCAGTGGGTCCGAAATCAATCAAAACCACTACTCTAACTCATCCACGAGTTATTGGGGTACTAGTAATTGGTATGGGAGAGAGATCCCTGTTAAACATTCCCATAATGCCTGAATTAAGTAGCTAGTACATAGTCACACAAGTCTTTGGTAATTAGGTAAGTCATGGCACTAACATAAATGAGGTTCATCACTGCCCACCACCGTCAGGCAAAGTCACTATTAATAACATGCCACTCAAGCATGACCAGATGAGAGCTGGGTCAGACGTTACTAAAGTTTTTGTGTAATACATGCTGGTGGAAGAACGTGTACCAACGTAATCAATGTTATTGGTATTTTAAGCATGTACAACTGCACATTCAAGACACAGTTTCACTAATTCCAGCATCTTAACTTCATTTTTATCTTCATCAATGATTGCTAAACTTTTTAGCAACAAACTGGGAAGACTGCACAACCAGCCAATAAGCAAACCAGGATAAAAGGAAGACCAGGTCTAATAAAACCAGCAAGCAGAAAGTAACCTCTGACTATCTACATAAACCCAGCACCAATCTAAGATCAAACTGGAAACAAGTCGAGCAGGACCTCAAAGAATATCCCAAACAAATCTTACTTATTGCAAGAGCATAGAAACCCAAGTAAGCAAGTCATCAATCCTAACAAAGGGAGTAGATAATAGCAAGTTCAACCCAACAACAGAAATCTGGAGACTTGTCAGTAACCTTGAACACGTTAACAGTAAGAACCAAGTGGCGTTGAAGCCAAAGCAAAATAAGAGGCAAAGCACTGATATGATTTCTATTGGAAGGTATTTGGCACTTTAATAAAATATCCATGCCTAACCCAGAAGAGAAAGAAGATCAAGGCAGTCTGACCTGAAGAATCTGTGATCCATGGTGCACGACCTAGGAAGGTTACACATTAGTGGCAGTGATGACAGCAAACTTGTTGCTGGTGGCTGTTTATTTGGAGTTAGGGTTAATTCCAAGAGCTGCAGTATAAGGTGTACAGACGCTTCATTACTGTTTAAAATTATATACAAATAGATACGGGTCATGGGTCAAGACTATGAAATATAGAATTAGTATGATATTGTACTACCAACATACACCAAAGTATAAAACAGGCAGACTTCTTATATGCTTGGATATCCTAGTATGCAGTTTAAAACATTTCCTAAGTTATGGGCTCTGTTTGAAAATGAAAGCTTATTCATACTCAAGAAAGCCATTTTCCAGTCTGAAAACCCACAAAAGTAACATTAAATCAAAGGAAGGCGAACAACACATACCCTTGCACGAATGAATTCTTCAATTCGTCCATTACGAAATCTCCCTAGTAGACGAGGTCCTTTCCCTTGCTTGGACATGAACTCAAACGTTCGGATCTCCAATTCACGGTCAAAGAACACATCCACACCCTCACCGTATATCCTAACTAAAACCTTCCGAGAGTGTTCTTTGTTGGTTGGCCACTTGATTTGGTAAACTTCATTGGTCATAGCACCCTTGAGTCGTATTACCTGTAAGGCATCTACATCAACTATATCATCCCAGTGAGAAGCCAATGACTGTAGCATCTTCATGGCCTCTGCTGGTAAGCGACTTCCTATAGCATCTGCTTTTTCTGCAGACTCCATAACTAAGGATCCACCTGATCCCTCCGTAGAAGCAATGGCTCTTTACTAGATATAAACAACACGTAAAGAACTCAATCTGTGGAATAAGATTTCAGAAGAAATGATTACCTTAACAATAGTTAGTTGCATATGATCCACATCCACTGAAAACAAACTGATAATACTGATGAATAACAAGAAAATACTAGGGTTCACTCGTTTATCCTATTTTCCTCATTTCTAATCCCCATTTTCTGGGTCCCATATCCATTACCCTCTGCATCACTGAAATAGGACTACCCACAAAATGAAAACAAGAAATTTCATGAAGTAAATGAATGGAGCCTTGTTTATTTAAACAAACTTTCCCGTATGGCATCAACATTTCTATAACAAAATAACTTCCACTCATGCACCTTGTCTATTGTATGATCGTTGATCCCAAGACAGATTCTTGGTTTTTAGCTTATTAAAACATCTCATGCCTGCCCCTATAGTGTGCATTGCTACTACGCCTAACTACATGTATTCTATAGGTTTCTTTTTTTCTAAACAACAAGCAGATATTTTGAATTTGTTTCACATATTTGTCATTCATGCCCAAAACCAACTAGCAATATAATCTATAAATTGCTCTCTGAACATTTGTCTTAGCCCACTCTAAGTTTTTAAGAAGAGGCAAAATGTTACTGAAAGTATTATCTACTTCTAATTCATAGACTTTGTAAGTGACAACTACAGGAAAAAAAATTGTGCATTGTGTTTTTTCACCTATTTGTAATGAACTGGTATCATAAGAATACCTAATACCCAATCTCCTTCTATTACATGTCCATTGATTTTGGGGTAATATTCGAATATTCAGCTGCATAGCATTTTTTATCCAAATGTTTCCTTCTATAAGATAATCTTTTACATTGGCATTGTCAATCAAACAGTTTAGCGAAATAATCACTTCCATCTAACTCGTTAAGCATGCATGTAGATTCTGTTGATGTCTAAAGTAACATTCAACGATAACAGAATAGGGTTTTTACGAATAAACATCAGTCGCATCAACCGACAATTTGTAATGACAAAACCAACATAGTAAATCCATCTTGAGTTTTTTCAATCAATAAAAGAAGAAACATTCCGAACTGAAAATTGCTGCAATCTTAATCGATGGGCAGAGTACTGATCATGCAAACTCACTAGCAAATTATCCAACGGGATCACCAGCGTTTTCTCAAAATCATCATCGAATATCAAAGGTAAAATTATTCAGTAGCATAATTAAATTGGAACTTGTAATAAGAATCAGAGAAGTTATCACCTCAGCAAGAAATTGATGAAACGTAGAATTGGGATTTAGGGCACACGAGGGGAGGGAGATATAACAGTTAGAGGAATGATTTTGCATGCATTCGAAGTTTCAGTTACACCCCCAGACTTTTTTCTAAATGACTTGTACACCCCTACTAAAACAAAAATAAATTATATATAATATTGACCACGTGAGTCAAAAAACTATTTTTATATTCACCATTGGATAAAACTTAATATTGGATCTTAATCGTTTAAATTTGTGTATTTTGCAGTTACATATGGATCCAGTCCACTCCGTTATATGCTTCCCATGATCCAACTCACTACTCTTCTTATGTTTCCATCGCTTTTCCCATTCAAAACCATGATATATTTAACCTCCTTCTCCCCTGTTACACGATCATCTTCAACCTCCACGTTCCTAGTTGTGTCCCCAACCGCCCTGTCTACCACGATCCACACCATGCTCCTCTCATCAACTATAAATATATGCAAACCTGGGCAAATGATGAATGCTAACTATGTGATCAAATTGGTGGGTGTAGTTTTGATATTTGTTTCAAAGGAATGGGTGTGATTTTCGACCAGGTGTGACATCGGGACTGCAGGTACAGCGTGTAGGAAAAACAAGTATGTTGACCAGAGCCTCTGATCATATGAAAGAACAGTTAAAGGTAATACTAATCCTTGTATCAGGATTAACCAAAGCCTCTGATCATCTTCCAATTTATTTTATATACAGCCCCAGATACTCTATCTTCTATTTTTTAAGTAGCATTTTGGGAGGAAATTTTGTAGTCAAAGTTCCAATTAAAATAATTCTAGAGGTAATCGAGTAGACGAACACTAACTTCAATGAGTTCATCACCTTTTAAGTTTCGAACAACGGAAAAAAGGAATAATATTTACGAAATAAATAATCATAGAAACAGAAAAAGAAAAAAACCAACTAAATAGAATCCCTCTTTTGAGTATTGCATTTAGCTTAGGAGGGAGGGAAATCTCATTACTGTTAGTTATAATATTATGGCCTTTGTATCTTTGGGAAGTAAAATTTAATAAATTCAATGTTTATTTTGGATTGCTAACCTAATACCTTTATTATCGTATGTAAGGTATTTTTTTATCATCAAAAGGAGCCTAAAGCCATGCTCAACCTTGACTAAGAACCAAACTCTGCTAAATTTATTCGTTTTGGAATAAACTATTTGCATATTGTCCATTGTCAATGGAACACGTATATGAAACTTAGTGTATTGCAAAAGTCCATGAGTTAAATCAAGATCCAAATGTACAAGGCACATAATATGAATATATATATATATATATATATATAGAGAGAGAGAGAGAGAGAAAGAGAGAGAGTTTGTTTCAAATGCAACCCATCGCATTTGTACAACCAATGCAATCTAATAAATTGAAATATTTATGGAAATGATGAGAGTTTATTTATTATGTTATAAATATTTATGGAAGATGAATAAGGTTTATTAATTATGATCAATACTTTATAATGGGAAACAATCAAAACTTCTATGAAATTACATATTCATCAAATCAAATGGACGGTTGAGATTGAGTTGTATTGGTTGTACAAATGTAAGGGGTTATATAATAACCCACCACTATAAATAAATAAATATATATATAATATATATATATATATATATATATATAAGTTTGTTTGCATTTTTGTCGTTATTAAAAAAAAATTGTTTCTCATGATGCAGGCATTTCGGTTAAGTTTTCTGCCAAACCACATAGACGGACAAAAAGTTTTAACAAAAATAAGTATTGAGAAGGATGCAAATGGTATTCATCGTCTAGGGGAAGAATCTTTAAGTGTCGAGATAGTATCATATGGTGAAGCTTTTGAACCTTACCAATCTCACTTCGCTCACGAACTAAGTGATGAGGTAACTTTATATATATATATATATATATATATTTCATACTCATAATCAAATTATAATAATTATATTAATTTAGTACTTTTTTGCAGTTTCGTCTTTTCGAAAAGGAAAGAAAACGTGCACGGGATATCCATAATTGGAAATGGGACGATGTTATTAATCTGGATCGTGATGAAAATAATTCGAATAGATGAGGACTTGCTTGACACCGCCGACTCGGCATCAGCTCTTACAAGACGCGTTAAAATACCTTGGGTCGTCGTTCATAGCCGCAGTTGGATGCACGATGTTAGGGATGCGTCCGATTACGATGATTACCTTTCTTTGTAGCGTTTGAACTAATCAAACATCAACAATGGAAGTTCTTGTAGGTATTTAAGGTGTAAAGGGTGGATTATCTCTTGGAGCTATGCTGATTTGTTACTGTTTTGGTTCTGATTTATTTTCTTAAGTTGCTGGTTGGATTGGTATTTTCATGGATCAGTTGGTGAAAATATGGTTTCTTTAACTTTTATGATCTATGTTCATGTGGATTGGGATTTGATTTTAAGAGTGTTGTTATGTGACAACTATAGCCAAACCCATTTTGTTACTGTCCAGCAGGTCTGAATATTCCTGTTTATGGGTGTTTCTGAGTTGTTGCTTATGTGTGAAGTTGAAGTGCAAAACAGCAAGACCAAGTCATCTACACATTGAAATACTACAAACATAATACAGAACCATTGTTCGAATTCTATCATTTGAGTTTGCGAGAATCTGCAAAGATCTTAGCACCATAAGAGACACTAGTATATATTTCCTTCACCATACATTCCTATAATGACTTCACATTCCTCATATACCCTATCTACTTTTCAAAAGTTAAGCATGAATGCTAACTTTGTGATCAAATTGGTGGGTGTAGTTCTGATATCTGTTGCAAAGGAAGGGTTAGGGTTTTTGACCAAGTGTGACATCGGGACTGAAATATCGTGTGCAGACAAAGCAAGTCTCTTGACAAGGTACATATGCCAATTATTTGAAAGAACATTTAAAGGTAATATCAATCCTTGTATCAGGATCAACCTGAGCCTCTGATTTGAAATCCCACCTTTGAGTATTGTCATTGTGTCTTAATAGGTGTGATTAACTATATTTTATGTACTTTTTGTTTAAACTTTTGCAGCCATAAGAAGCTACTATAATTTAAATGGAGACACAAGTTTCATTGACATTTGCATTGAGGTATATGAATTATTTCATAAAGGTAACCCCATTGGCGAGCCAACTAAAGTAAGTTTGTCTTCCAAATTACCTATTATGGTAGAATATAATAAGAAGACGACAGATAGCACACAACATTTGTCTTTTACCCATGAATGATAAAGGGAGTCCAACTTTATTTAGATATAAGAAAGTTTAGGATCTGAAGCAAATTAGTAAGAACAAATGACAGTGATCTTTATTCGTGACTTGGTGGGAAGATCCCCCAACCCCATATACCAGTTAGCCTGAAATAGGAATTTAGCATAACGTAGTCACATAGCAATTTGTTTCCTCTAGATACCATGATTTGAAATGTTGTGGCTCGATGCTACTAATCTTGTAATAAAATTGAAATCAACTGTCTCTTTTCTTTGGAATAATCATACGTGAAGGTTATTGAATATATGCAATGATTACTCTATTTTACTTGAATCATGGAAAGCTGCCTAAAATAAGTTGAAGGTTCGTAAATTGTATGGGATATCGTAGAAGCCTTCTTGTCTTTACTTGGTATCGTAAATTATGCAAGCATACTGAGAACTCAATTTTGTGCAAGGACTTAACCTGGTGATTCGGTTAGTTTGTAACAATGCTTATGTGAAGTGTCATGAGTTCTAAATTTTTGATATTGGGAAATCTAATCACTATGTGGGTTCAATTGTGTAACTTTTGTCGTAAGAAACTGCTAAGAGTTTCCGTTGAGACTTTACTGTTGTAGTAGCATAAAAGATTATACTGGTGTTCGAATTGGAGTCTTTACGATTTCAGTTGGCTTGGGATTCTTAGATAAAGTTGGGTTGTTTTGCTGCTTTAGGAATAGCAAAACTTGATATGGCTAATATGACAACTTTACTTCTTCCTATGAGTCATAACTGGAATCAAACTTTGACTGTGAGGGTCAAATTAGTTATTTTCTAAATTGACAAATATATACATATATATTATTGTTGGTCCCGTAAGGGTCTATAAGATATGTATAACAGTTTGTAGAAGGAGGGGATGAATACAAACACAGTATTTTCAAATTTAAAATGTATATTGATAAGAGAAGATCAATACAAATTTTACAAGACTGTTTGCGGAAAGATAAGGTAAGAAAAACATATCTAAACAATCTTTGGTTATACACTGAATCTTAGCAAATAAGAAAAGATATGTTGTAGGAGAAAGTAAGTTCTTTTACTTAAGCTCAAGAATGCTCAAAGTAAGAATTAGGTTAAGAGAGTGTGTTGTGCGCGCACTCTGCATGGAGAAGAAACACTTCCATTAATACCCATTGCATTAAATGCACATTTCATGCAATATGGTAGGGTTAGAGTGTGTGTCAAGCCTTAAGAGGAAGGCTTGTCCTTTGTTATAGTGAATAGTACAAAAAGCCTATTCATGAGCAGACATCCTTACCTAAAGTTGGTGGGTAATAGAGTCAACTAGTCGGCTCCGTACCGTACTAACATTTAGAAAGGGTATGGGTTTGTCCTTTGTGTGTATAAGGACAAGACAAAAACAATCGTGCTTGGCAAGCTTCTTTTGATTGTTGAGTGCTGGAATAACCTGAAGGTCTCTTCAGCACTCGCTGAGGCTTGAGCAGTCTTCACACATATGTAGATAGGCTTGTAATCACTGAGTACCGCTTCAGATCACGTACTCACCAATTTCTAATCTTCAGTTTCAGTCTTCGACATTGGCTGAAGGTTCTTTGGTGTGAGTGTTGTCTTCTTGAAGTATCGTTGTCGCTGATTGAATTACAATACAAGTTCTTCAGCGATCACTGAACAGGCTCAGTAAAGATCGCTGGAACTGAAAAGACAGAAACATAAA